AAAAAAAAAAACAAGAAACAGTTTTGCATCAATGCGTGGGGAGGATAGAGAAGGGATAGGTGGAGGTAGGCTAAGGAAGTGTTTTGAGCAAGGCGTTTTTTGGGGGGATTGTGATGCATTATTGAGGATGGGCAGAAGGGGGGACACTAGCACACAAAGGGCTGTATCTGGCTCAGATTTCTTTACTAAGGCTCTATGAATTGAACTTTTTTGAGGGAAAACCACCACTCCACAAGAACTTGGAGTATGTGCGAGTACGAGGGGGAGGCCGAGGGTACCCACTTTTATTAAGAGTATCACTCTCCACATCTTTGTCGGTATTTCAGAGTTGCGCAGACCCAACTCTGGGCTGCGGGGGACACCTCCTAGTACCTAGCCCAGGACATCCTGAACAGCAGCAGCCACAACAACAGGCTCGCCCTGGGACAAAGAGGCCGGCCTGCCGTGCAGCCTCGTGCAGCTGGGGCCGCGCGGTCTAAGAACGCGCGCTCGCCGAGCAGGGTCTGCAGGGTGGTCAGCCCAGACCCAGCGCGGGCCTCGGCTGACGCGCCCGGAAGAACCGGCCCCAGGGCGCAGCCCTAGCCCGAGCTGGCTCGGCGCCGGGCCTCCCGGCTTCCACTCACTCTTTGACCCTCGGTTCCCCCCTCCTCCGTTCTCCTCCCCCCCGTTTACCCCCATACCCCCTCCCCCTGCAGGTCGCACAACTGTAGCTGCTGCCGGGGCCGCCGCCCGCTCCTTTTCGGGCCGGCGGGCGGAGAGCGCAGCGCGGCGGGGCCGGCGGCATGGCTGTGTCCTGGAGGAGCTGGCTGGCCAACGAAGGGGTTAAACATCTCTGCCTGGTAGGATGGCGGGCAAGGGTCTCAGCTTTTTGTCTCTGGCGCAGCGATTTTGATTCGTTCTCTGAGCGTGCGCGGGTGGGAAGCTGAAGTGGAAGTTTCGCCTCTATTTCGAACATTTTGAACTAACAAAACTTTCCATACCTGGAGATCATAACCATCCCCCTTTTTCCAAATGTATGTGAACCTTCCTACATACTGGTTGGAGAGCGGATGTGGAGGAAGTGGGAAGTGAACACAGCTTTTTCTTAACCCTTTAAATAGATTTTTCCCCTTAGTTTTTGTCCGGGATTGCATTTTTGATGTATTGTTTTAATACCGTATAACACTTGGGACATGGTAGATGTCACTAATTTCTTAGCCTCATGTTATACAGCAGGGGAGATCTGTAGATCGTTTAGGAGACCGGTTTGCAACCCAAATGCTTAATCTCAGGTCAAGGGACAGGTGAGGTCAGTTTTACTGCCCTCCTCTGACTGGTTTTGAGCTTGCTGGGTAATTGAGAAAGGTTGCTTTCTCCAAGTTCTGATTGTCTGAAATTCCATGGAAAGTGCGGTGTCCAGTGAATTAATTCGTGGTTTCCATTTGTCAGGTAATGTTTACTTTTGTTTTCTGTCTCCCTTTGTCTGATTGTTTTAGCTCATCTGGCTCTCCCTGAATGTCCTGCTTTTTTGGAAGACTTTTCTGCAATATAACCAAGGGCCTGAGTATTACTACCTCCACCAGATGTTGGGGGTAAGTGGGACTTGGGCGAATTGGTGGAATGGACTTAGTGCAGGCAGACACTGGTACAAAACACTTTGACCAGTTTTTGCATTCATTAAGACACATTTGTTCTCTAAAGTGGTCATGGCTAAAAAATGATTGATTTGTCCAGGTAAAAAAGACCTCCTTATTTAAGAACTAAAACTATTATCTGCTCAATGACAATGAATGAACCTGCAAGACCAGCTAGTAAAACCTGAGAAACGTTATTTGTGGCTGCACAGTGCCCTGAAGGCTCTGTTTCACCAGGAGGACTGATGACAGACTTAGTTTTTGTTTATCAAGACTTACAGCCACCCAATGAGCTTGTCCAGAGAATTTCTGCACTGTTTCCTTTTACTGACAGTTCTCACAAAGTCTCTGTCTAATGGAGTTACTCATTTCCAGGCATTTCTCAGCTACTTTTCCTGAGGTTAGTGGCTGATTGTGGTCTCAGTGTGCTGGTCCAATGATGTTGTGCAAAGTGTTTCTCTGATTTTTATTATTATTGACAAAATCTTCCTTAGCTTCTTCTGTGGTGTTTCTGATCTCATTTTTCCATCCATCACCTTCCTACTTGGCTCCTTGACAGAAGACAATATCACTGAAGACATCTTACTTTGTACAGGGAGATGACATTCTAAATAGGAGATGCACTGCTTTGTTCTTCATAGTTTAATGACTAAAGTTATGAATGACTCAGATACATTCAGTGGAATCAGCCACCCCTTTCATGCTTTACATGTTCAGACCTTATTCATCTTGAAACGTCAGTGCCTGGCATAGTACTTAGCACATGTTAAACTTGCAACAAATAGCAGCTAAATTAATTAATTGTTGCTTTATTTTATACAACAAAATACTAATTTTTATTATCTATAAGTCACAGAGTTGTTACTTTTCAAGTTTAGTATATACGTTTTTAGATAATGGGTTGAAAGAAATTACCTCAAAGACTGAAATAATTATATTGGCAACTCAAATTTGAACACTCATTTGAACATTCGTTTCATTCATCTGTCCATCATTCCATCCAGCTACCTGTCATTGTTTTTAGGTGCTGTCAGGTCAGTTCGTACTCATAGCCACACTATGTACAACCGAACTAAGCACTGGCTGGTCCTCTGCCATCATCACAGTTGTTACTATATTTGAGCCCATGCTTGTAGCCACTATGTGAATGCATCTCATTGAGGGTCTTCCTCTTTTTCACTGACCCTTTACTTTACCAAACATGATGACCTTTGCCAGGGACTGGCCCCTTCTGATAAAATGTGCAGAGTGTGTGAGATGAAGTCTTGCCATCCTCATTTCTGAGAAGCGGTCTGGATGTACTTCTTTCAAGATAGATTTGTTTGTTCTTCTGGCAGTCCATGGTATATTCAATATTCTTCACCAATACAATAACTCAAATGACATTGATTCTTCTTTGGTCTTCCTTATTCGTTGCCCAGCTTTTGCACGCAAATGAGGTGATTAAAAATACCATGGTTTAAATCAGGTGCACCTTAATCCTCAAGGTGACATCTTTGCTTTTTAACATTTTAAAGGGGTCTTTTGCAGCAGATTTGTCCAATACATTATTTCATTTGGTTTCTTGATTGCTGCTTCCATGATTTTCATTAGTAAGTGCTTCAGGTGCTTTCTGTAAGCAAAGTTGTGTCACCTGCATATCACAGGTTATTAATGAATGTTCCTCCAGTCCTGATGCCATGTTCTTCTTCATATGGTCCAGCTACTTGGAATATTTGCTCACCATTTGGTGGAGTAGTGCCTAAGGCATCTGAGTGCTAACCAGAAGGTTGGTGGTTGAAACCCACCAGCCGCTCCTCGGAAAGAAGGTTAGGCAATCTACTTTCATAGAGATACTGCCTCAGAAGCCCAAGAAGGGGTCACTATGAGTCTAATTGACTCAACAACAGTGAGGTTTTCTTTTTTCTTAAATTCAGATTGAATAAGTATGGTGAAAAGATACAAACCTTACATATGCCTTTCCTAATTTTAAACCATGCGGTATCTAATTATATAGCAAACTGTAATAAACACCTAAGCTTGGCAAATGGGCACATAAAGAGTAGAGAGCTTTTGTCTGCCCTCAGGTTGCTTTCAATAAAAAGGAACAACCAAGAAATTAATTATAATTCAATAAAGAAGAAAATTTTCTATAATAAACACATTAAGTTTGCTGGACTACTATTTTTATTTTACTTCATAGAAATTCCTCTCAGGTGTGAACTAACATGAGGTTTTTCAGTGGGAGATTTTTCTGACTTACTGCATAACTTGGTGAACAACTTGGAACAAACTCTTGAGAGCTATGATGGTAAATTTTGTTCTTGACCAGGAGATATATGTGTTAGTATAAATTCTAAGAATAGATAGCTATGAAAGCTTCAACTGGACTTTGGATTTCAGCTTTGTAACATAGTGTAATCTAGAATAATGCCTGTGAATGTGTGTGTGTGTGTGTGTATGTGTGCAAAGAGCTCTGGTAGCCTAGTGCCTAAGGCATTTGACTACTAACCAGAAGGTTGACAGTTCAAACCCATCAGCCCCTCTGCAGAAGGAAGACTGGACAATCTACTTCCATAAAGAGTTACTGCCTCGGAAACCCAATGAAGGTCGCTATGAGTGGGTTTGGTTTTTGGTTTTACACACACACCAAAAAAAGAAAAACCAAACCCACTGCCATCAGAGTGGCTGGTGGGTTTGAACTGCCATCCTTTTGGTTAGCAGTTAAATACTTTAGGCACTGCAC